TTTACTCCCACTTCTAGAGGTAACTGGTACCACCGCTTCCCCAGCCTCTTAGGGATTCTCCAACATGGATTGGCTGGGATTTCGCTCTTTCCAGTTTTCTTAAGTCAGCTAAGTCATTTAACTCCTCTGTTTACTAGCCTCCAAAATTTTGTTATAGTGACTCCTCTCCTGTTCTCCTTGGATTTATAAGATTATGCTTTTAAAAAAAATACCCCGGCCTGGCGCGGTGGCTCACGCCAGTAATCTCAGCACTTTGGGAGGTCGAGGCAGGCGGATCACGAGGTCAGGGAGATCGAGACCATCCTGGCCAGCATGGTGAAACCCCGTCTCTACTAAATATTAGTGAGGCCTGCTGGCAGGCGACTCGGGAGCCTGAGGCAGAATGGCGTGAACCCGGGAGGCCTGCTGGCAGGCGACTCCAGCCTGGGTGAAAGAGCGAGACTCCATCTCAAAAAAAAAAAAAAAAAAAAAGCATGTGGGGGCCAGGCACGATGGTTCATGGCTATAATCCCAGCAGTTTGGGAGGCTGAGGCACGTGGATCACCTGAGGTCAGGAATTTCAGACCAGCCTGACCAACATGGTGAATCCCCGTCTCTACTAAAGATACAAAAACTAGCCGGGCGTGGTGGCACATGCCTGTAATCCCAGCTGCTTGGGAGGCTGAGGCAGGAGAATCGCTTAAACCCAGGAGGTGGAGGTTGCAGTGAGCTGAGACTGCGCCATTGCACTCCAGCCCGGGCAACAAAAGGTAAACTCTGTCTCAAAAGAAAACAAAACAAAAATTTGAAGTGGGGGCCGGGCACAGTGGCTCATGCCTGTAATCCCAGCACTTTGGGAGGCCGAGGCGGTCGGATCATGAGGTCAGGAGTTCAAGACCAGGGCTGGCCAACATAGTGAAACTCGTCTCTACTAAAAATACAAAAAATTAGCCGGGCATGGTGGCGGGCGCCTGTAGTCCCAGCTACTGGAGAGGCTGAGGCAGGAGAATTGCTTGAACCGGAAGGCGGAGGTTGCAGTGAGCTGAGGATCAGCCACTGCCCTCCAGCCTGGGCCGAAAAAGCGAAACTCCGTCTCAAAAAAAAAAAAATTTTTTTTTTTTAGAGATGGGGTCTCACTTTGTTGCCCAGGCTGGTCTCAAACTCCTGGCCTCAAGTGATTTCCCCGCCTCAGCCTCCCAAAGTGTTGGGATTACAGGCGTGAGTCACTGTGCTTGACCTAATTTTTTAAAATTGTGGTAAAATACACATAACATAAAATTTCTTAATCATTTTGAAGTGTACAGGTCAGAAGTGTTAAGTATATTCATATTTTTGTACAACCAATGTCCAGAAATTTTTCTTCTTGCAAAACTAAAATTCTCTACTCATTAAAAACCTCCCCATTTCACCCTTCCTTCAGCTCCTGGCACCTACCATTCCACTTTCTGTGAGTTTGACTGCTGTAGATACTTCATAAAAGTGGGTTCATACATTATTTCTTTTTTCGTGACTGGCTTATTTTACTTAGTATAATATCCTTAATGATGTGTGTTGTAACATGTGTTAGGATTTCTTCCTTATTAAGGGGTGAATAATGCTATTATATGTATATACTACATTTTGTTTATCCATTCATCCATTGATGGACATTTGGGTTGCTTCCACCTTTTGGCTATTGTGAATGATGCTGCTATAAACATGGGTGTACAAATGTCTCATAAAATTATTTTTTAAGTTGATTGTTTTGATCATGTTGCCCTCCTATTGAGAATCCTAAGTGATTCTATGTTATTAATAGTTACCAATTAAGGCCAGGCACAGTGGCTCACGCCTGTAATCCCAACACTTTGGGAGACCTAGGTGGGCGGATCACTTGAGGTCAGGAGTTCAAGACCAGCCTGGCCAACATGATGAGACCCTGTCTCTACTAAAAATACAAAAATTAGCCAGGCTTGGTGATGTGTGCCTGTAATCCCAGCTACTTGGGAGGCTGAAGCAGGAGAATTGCTTGAACCCGGGAGGCAGAGGTTTCAGTGAGCCGAGATTGTGCCACTGCACTTCAGCCTGGGCAAAGAGCAAGACTCCATCTCAAAAAAAAAAAAAAAAAGTTACCAATTAATATTCAGACTTAACCTGCTGTTCAAGACCCTCTAAATTCTGGAACCAAGCTACCTCTTAATATACATAGGTATATAATAGGAAATCAAATAAAGAGCTCATCAGAACTGTGTCTAAATAAAAAGTAAATAGCTTAAAACTTGATATCTAAAGGTTTTCCTCTGAGTAATATGAACTTTCAAATATAGACTTTTCTTAAGCCTTTTGGCTGTTCACAACTCTTATTTTATGTCTTCTATTTTCTAGAACTTTTGTCCTATTTTGCTGTTACCATAAAACTTTGACAGCATATAAAAGATGGATAGACTAGTAGCTGGGCCTGGAAGTAGCTAGATGATACACTTTTTTCATTTGCTGTTACCATAAAACTTTGACAGCATATAAAAGATGGATAGACTAGTAGCTGGGCCTGGAAGTAGCTAGATGATACACTTTTTTCATCACTGTATCTCCAATACCAGTGCCTAGCACAATATTTGGCATATAGTAGGTGCTCAATAAATGTTTATTTAAGAAAGTATAGACCAACCAGAATTCAAATGAAAATGAATATTTGTAATACAAAATATGACAACTTAAAATATTTGGAATTATAAAGGGTTTAGAAACTGTGACAAAAGAGCTTCAAAGCAGAAATGCTAGTGTACTTGTAAATTGCTTATCTTTTTGACAAGTGGCATAGAATCTGATGATAGTGCCTTTAGGCAGCAAAAACTGTCTTCAGAAAATAATGTAAAGAAAACTCACTCCCTGGTCATTGGTGGTTTGTGAATTTGTAGCCTACCATGAAAAACACTCCTAATTGCTTTTTTTTTTCCATTTTAAAAGATATGTGTTCACAGCAGAGTATATATGTTATTTATTTATTTATTTGACTTTTAAAATTCATCTTTGCAAGAACTTTGATTAAAACACAAAACAATATTCAATAGATTGCTTTATAAAGAATTTGTTCAATGTATATTTAAAATATTTTAGCAGTTTTCTAAAGGTTACTTTTGAAATATAGATTGTTCTTGGTGAGCATTAACTAATACAGAACAGTCATAGTGTTGATCCCTTAACTGTTTTTCTACCATAACTCACTGGATGAGTAATCACATAAAAGTACCCAAACACAGTTCTAAATTTTCATGAAGAGTAATAATCTGCTAATTTTCTTTTTTCTTTTTTTTTTTTTTTTTGAGAGGAAGTCTCACTTTGTCACCCAGGCTGGAGTGCAGTGGCGCGATCTCGGCTCACTGCAATCTCCGACTCCTGGGTTCAAGCGATTCTCCTGCCTCAGCCTCCTGAGTAGCTGACATTACAGGCATGTGCCACCATGCGTGGCTAATTTTTGTATATTTTAGTAGAGATGGGGTTTCACCATGTTGGCCAGGCTGGTCTCAAACTCCTGACCTCAGGTGATCTGCCCATCTCAGCCTCCCAAAGTGCTGGGATTATAGGCGTGAGCCACCATGCCCGGCTGCTAATTTTCTATTTATTTCACATAATGTAAATTTCAGTTCATTATTTGGCAGTACACATTTTTAAGGTGGCACTACTTTATACCAGAATTTCCTAAATGTTTAAAAGAGTATCAGTTCCTTCTTTTCAATGTGCCTATATGGTTCAGCAAGCATGCTTTTCATTTCTTAGACATAGAAATTAAGGCAAAATTATCTACTGTAGACTACAGTAAGTTCCCTCAGCTTATTACTTTAACACTGAAACGACAGATCCAGCAGTTGGTGTTTCTTTAATTTTTTCTCAGATTCAGTAACTAGCCCAAGTTGGTCTTTCTGATTTTTTAATATATTTTATTTATTTATTTATTTATTTATTTGAGACAGAGTCTTGCTCTGTCACCCAGGCTGGATCTTGGCTCACTGCAACCTCCACCTCCCTAGTTCAAGCAGTTCCCCTGCCTCAGCATCCCGAGTAGCTGGGATTACAGACGCCTGCCCCCACGCCCGGCTAAATTTTTTGTATTTTTGGTAGAGTCGGGATGTCACTATGTTGGCCAGGCTGGCCTCAAACTCCTGATCTCAGACAGTCCACCTGCCTTGGCCTCCCAAAGTGCTGGGATTACAGGAGTGAGCCACCGCGCCCGGCCTCTGATTTTTATCTTTCCATATGTTGTTTTCTTTGGAATTGAGCTCTAGGGAATTAAGAGAAAGTATCTTTTTTTTTTCTTTTTTTTTTTTAGACGGAGTCTCGCTCTGTCACCCAGGCTGGAGTGCAGTGGTGTGATCTTGGCTCATTGCAACCTCCATCTCCCGGGTTCAAGCTATTCTCCTGCCTCAGCCTCCTGAGTAGCTGGGATTACAGGCACCCACTACCATGCCCAGCTAATTTTTTGTATTTTAGCAGAGATGGGGTTTCACTGTGTTGCCCAGGCTGGTCTGGAACTCCTGAGCTCAGGCAATCTGCCTGCCTTGGCCTCCCAAAGTGCTGGTATTACAGTCGTGAGCCACTGTGCCTGGCCGAGAAAGTATCTTTTTTTTGAGACGGAGTCTCGCTCTGTTGCCCAGGCTGGAGTGCAGTGGCACGATCTCAGCTCACTGCAAGCTCCGCCTCCCGGGTTCACGCCATTCTCCCGCCTCAGCCTCTCGAGTAACTGGGACTACAGGCGCCCGCCACCTCGCCCGGCTAGTTTTTTGTATTTTTTAGTAGAGACGGGGTTTCACCATGTTAGCCAGGATGGTCTCGATCTCCTGACCTCGTGATCCACCCGTCTCGGCCTCCGAAAGTGCTGGGATTACAGGCTTGAGCCACCGCGCCCGGCCTGAAAGTATCTTTATTTGAGTATACAGATGTGTTTGAAAATGCTAAGTTAAAATAGATTTGCAGTTATGTATTTTAAACCTGGCAGGTTTGGTGACTTCTGTCCTAGCTCATTTTTTTTTTCTTTTTCCACACAGATTGATAGAGCTACATTCTCCTGATAGCAGGAACACGTTGATCCTACGCTGCAAAGATACAGCCACAGCACACTCCTGGTTCGTAGCTATCCACACCAACATAATGGCTCTCCTCCCACAGGTGTTGGCTGAACTCAACGCCATGCTTGGGGCAACCAGTACAGCAGGAGGCAGTAAAGAGGTCAAGCATATTGCCTGGCTGGCAGAACAGGTAGGCTGGGAGGCAGGTATCAATCACCTGGTTCCCATTCAGAGCCAGGATGGATCCTCATTTTAGATATCTGTAATACTTAACATGCAGTTAGGTCCTGGATATCTAACTTGCAGATCTTTTGTTTTTCGGTCTTTTGTTTCACCTCCCTTTTTCTCCTTCTACCTTTGGCTATTTGTTGCTAATTATCCACTCAACCAGAAGTAACTGACATAGTAATCACTATCATACTGTTACTAAAAAGAAGTTCTTATTACCATCTCTATCCTTAATGACAGAGGATAATTTTCATGATTTTAGATCAGGTTCAGCTAACTTTTTCTGTAAAGGGCAAGATAGCATCACAACTACTTGATTCTTCTGTTGTAGGAAGACAACTGTAATAGGCAATAGGAAAATGAATGGGTGTGACTGCGTTTCAGTAAAACTTTATTTACAAAAACAAGTAAACTGGTGGTTGGCTGGATCTAGCCCAGGGGTCATAGTTTCCCAACCCTTGTTCCTGACTAGAAGAGCTTCTAGGGGCAGCAGGCTGTAGTTGATTCCCCTGCTCTGGGAAAAGTATAAAATATACAAACGATTTTACAATTAGACAGAGGTACAATTGTCTTCCATAACTGAAAAGTGAAAAAAAAAAGAAACAAGAAAGCCTGAGTAGATGTTGAGTGAAAGGAAAAGAAGAACTTGAAAGCCCAAGTTATTTTAGATCCCAGGTTTGACAAAAGGAGAGTAAAAGTTCTATGTGACATTATGTTACATCTTTTTTCTTCACCATCAGCTAGGCTAGAGGGGCTTGAAAAAAAAGGACTGGACTAGGGGGTTCAGAGATGAGTGTTTAAGTGCTAGCTCTGTTTTTCACTGCTTTTGAGTCTTTTTGAAACTTACGTTTTGAATCCTAGTTGTGTGTGCAAAGGGCCAGGGAGTGGACTAAATAACTGGTTCCCAAATACAGCAGAATCAGCACAGGAAGGATTCTGTTCTTTCAGTTTTGATTTTTTTTTTTTTTTTTTTTTAAGTACAGTCCCACCCCAACGTAGTTCTAACTTTTTTTTTTTTAAGTCCAGGTTGATTTTATTTATTTGAGGAGGATATTGTCCTCAAAGCAATTCTGATGTGGTAGATCTGTGGTGGTGCCCGGTGATCTTGGTGGTACCAAGTAATTGTGGTAATTCAGGGGCCAATTTTGGTCACCAGCAAGAGTAATTTTTTTATTTTATTTTTTGCCACTTCTCAACTTTTTATGAACATTTCAAATAAAATTATAATGAATATGTAATATTAGTACAGTGATCATTTCTATAAAGCATAATTAGAATAACTAGTAAATGAGTGAAAGTCATGGTATAAGTACTTATGACTTTGAAAATTTTAACATTTTAGTTGTGTTTATCATTGTTTCTATATTTTATATGCTAGTTGAAAACTTGAATTGAATGGTAATTGTTCTGTGCTTCTGGCATTGTTCAAAATCCTCATGATTTTAAAAAGGTAACACATTCACATGGTTGAAAAATCAAGCAAAAAATTAATAGGTGAAAAGTCTTGCCCTCATTCCTGTTACCTATCCACCTGTTATGCCCTTTGCCCTGGGAAGGTAACAACTCTTATTCCTTTCTATTGAATCTTTTGAGAGTTTCTTTATGCAAATAAAAAGAAAATATGAGGCAGGATGTGGTAGCTCATACCTGTAAAACCAACACTTTGGGAGGCTGAGGTGGGAGGATCGCTTAAGACCGGGAGTTTGAGACCAACCAGGGCAATATGGCAAAACTCCATCTCTACAAAAAATTAACAACCAAAAAAAAAATTAGCTGGGTCCTTTCACACATGCACTGTCCAGATCCTTTGGCTCCTATGTCCAGGTAGATCAGATAAGGATATCAACATTATCTGCATATATTCAGTTCTTAAGTTTCTGACAGTAAATAGTAAAACTTTGGTTAGTAAGGGATTTATCCAAAGGTTCACATCAGTTCCTAAGTTTAGATAGTGAGAGTTCAGAGGGTAGGGGATATTTCTCTTTTTGTTTTTTTGGAGATGGAGTCTTGCTCTGTCGCCCAGGCTGAAGTGCGGTGGCGCGATCTCGGCTCACTGCAAGCTCCGCCTCCTAGGTTATTGATACTAATTTTTATGTGACTGATTTTACCCTTTAACTGGTTATATTGGTTTTTGTTTTGTTTGTTTGTTTGTTTTGTTTAATTTCCATGTTCACAGTGGTTTTTTTAAATTGGCAAATAATTATGTATATTTATGGGATACAATATAATGTTTTGATACATGTATACATTGTGGAATGCTCAAATCAGGCTAATCAACATATCCATCACCTCAAATATTTATCATTTCTTTGTGGTAAAAACATTTAAAATTTTTTCTTTTAACGTATTTTGAAATACGCAATTTATTTTTTTGAAATGAGGTCTTACTCTGTCGCCCAGACTGGAGTGCAGTGGTGCGATCTTGGCTCACTGCAACCTCTGCCTCCCAAGTTCAAGCTATTCTCCTGCGTCAGCCTCCTGAATAACTGGGATTACAGGCACATGCCACCACACCCAGCTAATTTTTGTATTTTTAGTAGAGATGGGATTTCACCATGATGGCCAGACTGGTGTCAAACTCCTGACCTCAGGTCATCCACCCGCCTCACCCTCCCAAAGTTCTGGGATTACAGGTGTGAGCTACTATGCCCGGTCAATATATTATTATTAACTATAGTCACCATACTATGCAAAAGATTATCAGAATTTATTCATCCTGTTTAATTGAAACTTTGTACCATTTGACCAACATCTTCACTTTCCCCATTTACGCCTCACCCCAGCCACTGGGAACCACCATTCCACTCTACTTTTTTTTTTGAGGCAGGGTCTCATTCTTTCACGCGGGCTGAAGTGCAGTGGTGTAATCATGGCTCACTGCAGCCTCAACCTCCTGGGCCCAAGCAATCCTCCCACTTCAGTCTTCTGAGTAGCTAGGACTACAAGCACGTACCACCACACCAGGCTAATTTTAAAATTATTTTTTGTAGAGATAGGATCTCACTGTGTTGCCCAGGCTGGTCTCAAACTCCTAGGAGAAGAGAGTCCCAGTGATAGATATTATAGCACAGAACCAAACCACTCAGGCCACTTTCAGATTATAGATGTAAGGTTCTCATGTCCAGGTTACCTTCAGAAGTCCTTAAGGAAAGCGCGTGAAAAGGGCTCTGAAGGCAACACTTTCAGAGATAAGTGATTCGTCAATTTGAATTCTCCTTGAAGCTGTCAGTGGTGCTGAGCTGAAGGATCAGTGTTAAAATACAGTGTTGTTAAACAGTCCTTGCTCAGAGGTCTCCTGAGGAGGGAAAAGTTTTGATCATGACAGGGCTTTTCTTGAATATAGTCTTTGGCTTTTTGGCCTTGGATCCTTGACAGTATGGATAAATAGTAGTTGTTTTCCTGAAGTTTAAAACATTTTTAGAGATAACTGAGCATTATACAAGTAAATTCAATGCAGCCTTCTAAGCTGAAACATAAATTTCTAAAATACAATGGGCCAGGCACGGTGGCTCATGCTTGTAATCCCAGCACTTTGGGAGGCTGAGGTAGGTGGATCACCTGAGGTCAGGAGTTCGAGACTAGTATGGCCAACATGGTGAAACCCTGGCTGTACTAAAAATACAAAAAATTAGGTGGGCGTGGTGGCGGTTGCCTGTAATCTCAGGTTAGTCAGGAGGCTGAGGCAGGAGAATTGCTTGAACCCGGGAGGTGGAGGTTGCAGTGAACCAAGATCTTGCCATTGCACTCCAGCCTGGGTGACAGAACAAGACTCTGTCTAAAAACATAATAATAATAATAATAATAATAAATAAAATACAATGGAGAACTCTTGGAACATAGTTTAAGTGTTTTCTTAAGCTGTTAAGTTCTGGGTTAATAATAATTTTTTAAAAATACAACGCAGTGAGGCTGGGCACATTGGCTTATGCCTGTAATCCTAGCACTCTAGGAGGCCGAGGCAGGCAGATTGCCTGAGCCCAGGAGTTCGAGGCCAGCCTGGGCAATACAGTGAACCCCCATCTCTTCTAAAATACAAAAAAATTAGCTGGGCGTGGCAGCATGCACCTGTAGTCCCAGCTACTCGGGAGGCTGAGGCAGGAGAATTGCTTGAACCCAGGAGGCAGAGGTTGCGGTAAGCCGAGATCGCACCACTGCACTCCAACCTGGGCAACAGAGTGATACTGCGTTTCAAAAAACAAAACAAAAAAAACACACACACAGTGGGTCTGGCGCTATGGCTCACTCCAGTAATCCCAGCACTTCGGGAGGCTGAGGCGGGCAGATGACCTGAAATCAGGAGTTCAAGACCAGCCAGACCAACATGGAGAAACCTTGTTTCTACTAAAAATACAAAATTAGCTGGGTGTGGTGGCATATGCCTATAATCCCAGCCACTCAGTAGGCTGAAGCAGGAGAATCACTTGAACCCGGTAGGCTGAGACTGCAGTAAGCTGAGATTGCACCATTGCACTCCGGCCTGGGCAACAAGAGCGAAACTCCGTCTCAAAAAGAAAAAAAAAAATACGACATAGTGAATCATGATCTGCATTTTAAAAAAATACGATAGACGGGCCGGGCAAGGTGTCCCATACCTGTAATCCCAGCACTTTGGGAGGCCAAGGCGGGTGGATCATGAGATCAGGAGATCAAGACCACCCTGGCCAACATGGTGAAACCCATCTCTACTAAAAATACAAAAATTAGCTGGGTGTGGTGGCACACACCTGTAGTCCTAACTACTCAGGAGGCTGAGGCAGGAGGTAAAGGTTGCAGTGAGCCGCGATTGTGCCACTGCACTCCAGCCTGGCGACAGACCGAGACTGTCTCAAAAAAAAAAAAAAAAAAAAAAAGATAGACATTAACAGATTACATTGCACAAAATAAGAGAGTTATGTTATTTGGAAAATATTTTATTCAACTATCTATGTATGCGAATATTGGGTTGCAATGTAAACTATATTTCTTATTGTAAGTCTTGATCAAAAACTTTGATGTTTACATTATACAGACTTACTTGGTAGTAGGAGTTTCTGTCCTATGTTTAGAAGATATTACACATCAGACATTCTGAAACTTATAATTTTGAACATATTACTATATATTTAATTAGAATTGACAATATTGGCCAGATGTGTGGCTCATGCCTGTAATCCCAGCTCTTTGGGAAGCTGAGTGAGACCCTATCTCAATAAAAGAAAAAACAGAATTGGCAATGTTCAGTTATTATGGAATGGGGAAAAACTGTGTTGTATCACTAGATAATGTTTATAACTATAATACACACACCACTTCACACCTCCCAGTGGAGAGTCCCTACCAGTGTAAACTTGGTGAGATGTTTCCTGTATGTCAAGTCCATCAGGTTGGGAAAACAACATGGAGACCCATTGTGTTAGGCCATCACTGAAGGAACTTTTACAAAGACATATCATTATAGTTAGTCCTGATTTCTGAATTTTTCCATTGTAACAGGCAAAACTAGATGGTGGAAGACAGCAATGGAGACCTGTCCTCATGGCTGTGACTGAGAAGGATTTGCTGCTCTATGACTGTATGCCATGGACAAGAGATGCCTGGGCATCACCATGCCACAGCTACCCACTTGTTGCCACAAGGTAAGTAAGACTAAAGATAAGGAAATAAAATATTTATCCTACTCTAAATCTACAAAGGAATTTTAAAGTGAATTCTGTTATCTTAGGTGCCTAAAAGAGCATTTAAGTAGAGGATGCAGACAAAAATTTTTTGTTTTACAACCTTATTGATCATTTTGCAGCTGCTAGCTCAGAATAAATTGTTTTTTTCATGAGCATTTTTGTGTGTACCTTTTAAGTTGTCAAAGAAACTTCCTAACTGTTCCCTTTTAAGACTTGCTTAGTCATGAAGATTATAGGGGTTTCTTTTTTCTTTATTTTATTGACTGTGACTAGAAAACCACTGAAAATTGTGGCAGCCTTTTGACTGAGTGATGAAATCATTTAAACCAGAATGTGGTACTGTGGATAAACCACACAACTCAGCCAAAATATTGTTCAACTTCTCTTTCTAATGTAAGAACACATCATTTTGATTCTATGAAATAACCATTGATTTGACCTGAAGCCACAGGGTGTTTCTAGCATTCCACATATGGAGGGCTGAAAGGGAAAAGAATAGAGAAATTTAGACTTGGGAGCCAAGATGTCTTAAGGGATCATAACTGTGAAACTAGAAAACATACCCAAATTCAAATTTTTTTGGACTTATAAAATAATCAGGTGTTGATATAACTCAAAAACTACACATTAAAGAAGAGTGTCATGGGAAAGTATTTGGTTGTCAAAAGAGCTAAATGATGAAACTATCTGGAATATCCCAGTGGGAATAGTGGGGTTTTCCTGCTTTGAGGAGACAAAGATTCATGTAAGGCAGAGTATTCTTTGCATTACAGGAAAAGTTTCACTTTAAAAGATTTCCTTGACTTACCACATATATTATTCTTCCCTTACATATATTATTCTTTTTATTAAAAAAAATCGTTTTCACATAGGCTTCCAGTAGTATCTCCGTAATTTAGAGCTGGAGCTCCTAGATCACAGAATGAAATAAAGGATTTGCTGAGCCTCAGTATTAGGGAGGTATGCCCTCATTAATTCCTTCAGGACAGAATAGTCCTGCAGAAAGACTGAATTTAATTATCAGTTTCTCTTTTAAAAAAATAAAATAAAATATACAGTATTGTTTATTGTAAATTTCTTAATATTTGGTTTTTTTAATCCCCACTAAATTATAACCTCCTTGAAGTCAAGAACTCTGATTTAGTCATCTCAGCACTTCCCACAATGCTTTGCATGTAGGAGGCTATCAATAAATCTTAGTTGAATTAAATTCTTTACTTAAGTTACAGTTTCTCTGTCATGATTACATTAGGAACTTGATGGTAATCCTATAAAAATATGTGACCGTGTCTTAGTAATTATAATTAGAGCAAATAAATTTATATTTTCCAAAGATTTAGAGTTTAGGAATATGGCTCTGGAGATCTCTTAAGTTTAAATTTTGTAGAATCAGCTTACACTTTGGTTCTGATCATAGAATGCAAGGAAGGTAGCTTTATTCTTTTCTAAAATGTGTGCACCTGGAAGCATGAAGCAGAAATTTATCACATTCCATAGATGAGCTTTTGTTTAATACTGGAAATTATAATGCCATAAGCAAATAATTTCTTGGCTATCAAGTAGATTAGGCATGGACCACCAAAGCACTTCGGTACTAAAGAATGAGATGGGGTGGTGTGTGTACTATCACTGGTATTAATTTGCAAGTAGGGAAAAGATATAGACAAGATTTAAGAGCTAAAATTATAAAACTCATAGAATAAAATATAGTAAATCTTTATGACTTTGGGTTAGGCAGAGTCTTCTCAGATATGATACCAAAAGCACAGTTAACAAGAGAAAAAATAGATAAATTTGACTTTAAGAAACTTAAAAGCTCTTGTGCTTCAAATGTCACCATCAAGAAAGTGAAAAAATAACTCACAGAATGGGAGAAAATATTTCAAAATCATATATCTGACGAGACTTGTGTCTAGAATATATAAAGAATTCTTGTCCAGGCATGGTGGCTCACATCTGTAATCCTAGCACTTTGGGAGACTGAGGCAGGCCTATCATCTGAGGTCAGGAGTTCAAGACCAGCCTGACCAACATGGTGAAACCCCATCTCTACTAAAAATATAAAAATTAGCCAGTGTGGTGTTGCATACTTGTAATCCCAGCTACTCAGGAGGCTGAGGCAGGAGGATCGCCTGGATATGGGAGGCAGAGGTTGCTGTGAGCTGAGATTGCACCACTGCACTCCAGCTTAGGTGACAGAGTGAGACTCTTGTCCTAAGAAAAAAAAAAGAATTATCCAAGTCAGTAATGAAAAGATAAATTACGCACTTAAGAAACAGGACTGGGCGCAGTGTCTTATGCCTGTAATCTCAGCACTTTGGGAGGCCAAGGTGGGTGGATCACCTGAGGTCAGGAGTTAAAAGACCAGCCTGACAAACATGGTGAAACCCCGTCCCTACTAAAAATACAAAAATTAGCCAGGCATGGTGGCGTGGACTGTAATCCCAGCTACTCGGGAGGCTGAGGCAGGAGAATTGCTTGAACCCAGAGGTGGAGGTTGCAGTGAACTGAAATCTCACCACTGCACTCCAGCCTGGGTGACAGAGCGAGACTCCCTCTCAAAAAAAAAAAAAGAAAAAAGAAAAAAGAAATGGGAAAGTGATATGAATAGATATTTGTCCAAAGAAGATATACAAATGGCCAATAAGAACATGAAAAGATGTTCAGCATCCTTAACCATCAGGGAAATGCAAATCAAAACCACAGTGAGATATCATTTCCCACCCACTGGGATGGCTATAATTAAAAAGACAGATAAAATGAAAAGTGTGAACAACGATGTGGAGAAAATGGAATCTTGATACACTGCTGGTGAGAATGTAAAATGTATACTTGCTGTGCAAGGCAGTCTGGCAGTTTCTCAAAAGCTAAACGTAGAGTTACGCTGTGACCCATAATTCCATTCCTAAGTTATGCCCAAGAGTAATGAAAACTTATGTCCACATGAAAACTTACATATGACCATTCATAACAGCATTATTCACAATAGCCTAAGAGTGGAAACAACCTAAGTGTCCCTCAACTGATGAATGGATAAATAAAATGTGACATATCCACACAGTGGAATACTATTTTGCAGTTAAAAACAATAATGTTCTGATACACACTACAATGTAAATGAATCTTGAAAACATTATGCTAAGTGAAAGAAGCCAGACACAAACAACCACATACTGTATTGTTGCATTTATATGAAAAGTTCAGGATAGGCAAACCCAGGATAGACAGAAGGTAGATTAGCCGTTGACAGGGGGAGGTAGCTAATGGGTACAGGATTTCTTTTTGAGATGATGACAATTTGCTAACATTGAATGTGGTGATGGTTCCTAAATTCTGAATACACGAAAGACCGTTGTACTTCAAGGGATAAATTGTATGGTGTGTGAATTATATTTTAATAATTCAGTTATTTCAATAAAATAATTAAACCCGACAAGATTGAAAAGAGAGACTGTTTCATAATAAACTGAATGTTATACTAAGTGGTAGCATGCTACTGAACCTTTCTGTGACACATATTTTTCATTTGTTAAGTGTACCCTAATGAGATAGGGTGGGTGTGAGTATTAAATGAGTTAATACTAATAAACTGCCTAGAATGGTGCCTGACACATTGTAACTGCTCAATGTTAGCTGCTTTAATTATAATATTTATTATTAAATGAAAATTATGCCCAAGAAGAATTCTTTGTAAAAAGCATAATAATTAGGCCAGGCGCGGTGGCTCATGCCTATAATCCCAGCACTTTGGGAGGCTGAGGCAGGCAGATCATGAGGTAAGGAGTTCGAAACCAGTCTGACCAACCTGGAGAAACCTTGTCTCTACTAAAAATACAAAAATTAGCCCAGCGTGGTGGCACACGCCTGTAATCCCAGCTACTTGGGAAGCTAAGGCAGAAGAATCACTTGAACCCTGGAGGCAGAGGTTGCATTGAGCTGAGGTCATGCCACTGCACTCCAGCCTGGGCAACAGAGCGAGACTCCATCTCTAAAAAAAAAAACAAAAAGTATAATAATTAGTTATAATGGTCCCCATTGTTAAAGGGAGAGCTCGTGGCCCAGCCGCAGTGGCTCACGCCTGTAATCCCCAACACTTTGGCAAGGCCGAGGCGGGCGGCATCACGAGGTCAGGAGATCGAGAACTCCTGGCTAAACACAGTGAACCCTGTCTTCTACTAAAACTGCAAAAAATTAGCCTGGGTGTGGTGGCGGGCGCCTGTAGTCCCCAGCTACTAGGGAGGCTGAGCGAAAGAATGGCATGACCTGGGAGGCAGAGCTTGCAGTGAGCCGAGATCGCGCCACTGCACTCCCCGCCTGGGCGACAGAGTGAGACTCCGTCTCAAAAAAAAAAAAAGAAAAAAAAAGGAAAAAAGAAGAGCTCTTAGCTGGGTGCCATGGCACATGCCTGTAATCCCAGCTTCTTGGGAGGCTGGAAGGGTCACTTGAGCCCAGTAGTTCAAGACCAGCCTGGGCAACATAGTGAGACCTCTCATCTCTAAAAAATTAAAAGAAAGGAAAAGGAGCAGTTTTTTGATCTGCCACCAATTTTTACAGATAGTCGAAGTTTCATATTAAAGGTGAGGAATTCAAACATGCTCATTCATGCAAATTGAACTCACCATTAATTAAATGGGTGGGTCATATAGAGCTTCCTAGACTGCCTTCCTTTCTCTATTCCTTTCCTTTTTCTTCCCCTTCCCCTTCCCTGCCTTCCCTTTCCTTTCCTTTTCCTTTCTTTTCTCCTCTCTCTTCCTCTCTCCCTCCTTCCTTCTCTTTTTTTCTTTCTGACGAACTCTCACTCTATTGTTCAGTCTAGAGTGTGCAGTGGCAGGATCATAGCTCACTGTAACCTCAAACTCCTGGGCTCAAGCCATCCTCCCACCTCAGCTTCCCAAGTAGCTAGGACTATAGGCATAAGCCACTATGCCAGGCTAATTTTTTTAGCCTGTGTTGCTGTG